TGCCAATCTCGAGGGACCGCTGAGGAACCCCTAAAGGTTCCACGGAACACAGTTTGCAAACGCCTTGCTTATTCCAGTTTTTTTCCTCTCCAGCGTGGAGAAACCGAGCCCCAAAGCCGAGAGCCTGCACAGGGCTTGCCTAGGCTGGTGAGGCTTCCTGCTGTCCCTGGCGAAGCACTCGGTTCCACAGATATTTTTAAAATTTAAGGTGACCAGATCGTTCCGCGTTTGGCGGGACAGTCCCGATTTCCAACAATTTTTCCCGCGTCCCGCGGCGTTTAAAAAAAAAAATCGGGACTTTTTTAAAACGCCGTGGGAGGCGGGAAAAATTATTAGAAATCGGGACAATCTGGTCACCTTATTTTAAATTTGTGTGGCTGATCAGGGGCTGCGTAGCAGTTACTGAGAACGTGACTTCGGGCCAGACTGCGGGAGCTGCATCCCGGTTCTGCCTCCTAGGTGTGCCGTGGGGTGAGGCCTCCCTGTGCCTTGGGGTGGTCCTCCGCGGGGGAGCACGGTAACATCGTTCTCTCTGGCTCTGACATGTCTTCCTAATGGGCCACCCTCGGGCGCCCTTGGGACTCACACCTCAGGAGCCCGGCCTGGGCAGCCTCCTCTCCCCGGCCGTGTGGTCACCCCACAGAGGACGCTTCTCCTGGGCTCGGGAAAGGCCAGCGCTGCCCGGGGCAAATGCCTCAGCCCTCCCTGTCCGGAGACGGAGAAACCAGGATTCGCGCCCAGAGCGACAGTGGGCCCGGATTTGGACTCGGAGGCCTGGGCACACAGCCCCAGGCCCAGATTCCACCCAGGGATAGGTGGGAGCCATTCGCCTCCCTCAGGCTAACGGTGTGTGTCAGGCTGCTTCCTGCTTCTGAGGGATCGTAATCCACTCACGTCACAAGGAACACACACTGACCTTCCCAGGCTCCAAAGCACACACAGCTGTTACGTCTGAGCCTCCAAGGAGAGGGGTACTGCGCCCATTTCAGAGGTGAGGAGACTGAGGCTCACGGGCCATGGCTGGAGCGATTAGCCAGGCGGGCCCCACGGGGCGGGGGGGGGGGGGACTGCAAGGTGCTCCCCGTGGAGCATGGCATGCAGCTTTATGGATTTTGTTACTTTGGGGCTACTAGCTGCTACGGACCGAAAACCTACTAAGAAAACAGTGAGAGATTCCCAAAACCCCAAACTCAGAAACGCCAACGAGCAGTCCGCCAGCGGCTCCCGGGGACGCGGCCTGCCACCACACAGGCTCCCCGGGGCCGGGCCGGGCCCTCCCGTCTTGCCATTTTCAGGGGAAAAGTCAAGGTTTTCCGTTGCTGCTATTTTTGCTTCTAAAGCTCGGGTCTCCCGGGACCACTTTTTCGTGGCTTCGGCCTGTGCAGCTCAGGGCTGCGTCTTCGCCTGTTTCCGGTACCTGGGCTCTACAGCAGCGTTTCCCAAACTTCTCTCAGGATGAGAATCACCTGGTGGAGCTGTTAAACTACAGATTCCTGAATCCCAACTAAGAAGTGCTAAACTAGAATTTTTGGGAACATATAGGTAAAATTGTATAAATTCATCCCTTCACTCTGCCTGGACAGGAATCTGCACTGCTGACAGGCCAGGACTGCATGTTCACAACTCAGAACGGGCCTCACAGACACCCCCGGCCCCGCCACCTGCTCCCAACAGTGGGCCCTTAAGCTTTTTCAACTCAACCCCTCCCCCGCCCCTTGGGGCCAAGCACCCCTGGGGGCCTCTCCCGCGCCCCCGTTCCCACCTCCCCGGGAAGAAGAACCCGGCGGTACCTTCGGAAGCATGGCTGAACAACTTCCAACACAGTTGCGATCAAACCCTGGAGGTACTTTAAGCTTCCAGGGCATTCTCTCATGGTCTCAGGTTATGAGCCTGTCCTTCTAGGAAAAGCTAACCGCAGGGATTCCTGTCTTGTCGTCACGACCACCAGGTTCTCTCCGCGGGCAGCGGGAACAGGTGGGAGGAAGGGGGCACGGGGTGCCCTGGCCCACGTGGTGGGGTGGGGCTGAGCTGAAAGGTGTAAGGGCCTGTGGTTGGGAGCAGCTGGGCTGGGGGGGGATGTCTGTGAGGCCCATGTTGTGACCGCCAGGTGCTGGGTGCCAGGGCCATGGGTATTTTCAAACTTACATTGTCCAAGAGCAATGACCCCCACGTGGCAGCGGCTGCACTTGGCCTCCTGGGGCCCGGAGAGTGAGGCACCCGGCAGCTGCCGACATGGCGTGGCCCTGGAGAGGCGGCTCCGGGGCCAGGCTCTTCCCGGGCCAGGAGGGACCTGGCACCTGGAGTGGGGGGTGGGGCTGCAGGTGTGGGTCAGGAGGGGACTCCGAGGCCTAGTGCGCTCCGGCTCCAAACGGAGGGCTTGTGCTGGCCGCCTTGTCTGCTCTGCCCTCCGCCAGCTCCTCCCGGGTTTCTCTGTCTGAGCCGGGGGGGAAGGCTGGTGGGAACGGATTCGGTCACAAGTGCAAAGGAGAAGCTGTGCCAGAGAGAACTGACACAGGGGGATGAGGGAGGTGGGGAGGGGGAGGTGAGGGTCAAGCCAGGCCCGGCTGAAACACACACAGTGCCCCCCTGCTCGGGGCCAGCCCCGCGCTGCCCAGCTGGCGCCATGCAGGGGGGCACCGCAGCAGCACCCCTAGGCTTGAAGCCCAGTGCTGCTGGACCCTGGACTGGAACCTGTTTTCTCGATCACGGGGACCGTGGGAGGGTTAACGGAGTTAACACGTGTCAGGTGTGCAGCGTGCCCTGGCCCGCGGTCAGTGCTTAGTGGTGTTAGCTGGGACGGTTACGGCTAGCATTAGGGGCACCCGTCGGAGCCCACCGGCACGCGGGAGAGCTGCAGGAGGGTAGAGGGCAGCCTGGCAGGTACCAGCGTGCAGCTCCCACTGGCCCGGATGCCCTGGGCAGCCCTGCCTCAGTTTCTCACTAAGGGGCACCCCTCGAAGGCAGGCCATCTGGGACAGGGTGTCGGAGATGATGACAAGATCTGAGCAAGGTGTGGCCCGGCCCTCGGAGGTCGCACGGCTGTAGGGGAGAGAGCTGGGATCTTGGCCGAGTGAGTGGCTCTCCTCCGGCCAGCGTGGGGGCTGGGTTAGGTTTGGGATGGCAGACAGCTCTCTCCCTTGTGTGCCAATTCCAACAGACGGACAGACGAATGGGCCGTGGCCGCCTGGGGCTTTGGAAAGCCAAGAGATGGGGAGTCACCCTGGGCGGGGCAGGGAGGCCCTTTACCGGATCGGTGCTGCCTGCCCAGGGCCAGGGAGGGGTACGAGTGGCATCTGGAGGCTCCCATGCCCTCCTCCGCCTGGCTCAGGGGCCGGTCCTCCAGCCCGGCTGCGCCTCGGAATCACCAGAGGGGGTTAACACTGATTCGGGGTGCTGGCCTGGCCTTGGCCGTTTTTGGAAAGCTCTGCGGGTGATTCTAAGGTGGGGTCGGGCTGAGCACTGCTGGGGGAAGAGGCCCCAGTGCCGTGGCCGGCAAACCTCGGCTCGCGAGCCACATGCGGCTCTTTGGCCCCTTGAGTGTGGCTCTTCCACAAAAGACCACGGCCTGGGTGAGTTTATGTTGAAGAAGTGGCGTTAGAAGAAGTTTTAAGTTTAAAAAATGTGGCTCTCCAAAGAAATTTCAGCCCAAACCGGTTTGGCTCAGTGGATAGAGTGTAGGTCTGTGGACTGGAAGGTCCCAGGTTCGATTCCTGTCAAGGGCATGTACCTTGGTTGCGGGCACATCCCCAGTAGGGGGCGTGCAGGAGGCAGCTGGTTGATGTTTCTCATCGATGTTTCTAACTCTCTGTCCCTCTCCCTTCCTCTCTGTAAAAAAAAAATCAATAATTATATATATATATATATATATATATATATATATATATATTTTTTTTTTTAAAGAAAGAAATTTCCATCGTTGTCCTGCTGATATTTGGCTCTGTGGACGAATGAGTTTGCTGACCATGGGCCTAGATCCTCGAGTCCTGAGCTCGCAGCCTCTCGGTGCGGTCTGCTCTCCGGGGCTTTGCAGGAAGGACAGGGTTAGAGGTGAGAGGCCGCCTCCTGTTAGTGTTATGTGGCGGCTGGGAGAGAGGCTGAGGCAATGGCTGCAATCAGGGTTTGGGGGACCCGGGGGCCCCTTCTCAGGACGCACCGTGGAGTCTCCTGGGGGAGGCTTGGCGTCTGGGGGACCCCGCGGGGTTCAGAAAGGCCTGGCTTCGCCAGGGGGAGAAGGAAGCCGATGAAAGCTGACCGGGGCGCTGGGCTGGGGGCGCGGGGCCAGGGTGCCGGCCTCGGCGCTGGGGTATCAGGACCTCGGGCAGCCCCGGCCGCCTGGAGGGAAGCCGGCAAAGACGGGCTGTTTCTGGTGAGGCCACCCGGCCTCAGCCCCTCTGTCAGCTCAGAGCCCGGCCAGCTTTCCCCGGCGCCGCCCTCACCCCGGGGAGCCAGCCTGCCGCCCCGAGGAGCAGGGGAGGGGACCTGGCCTCCCACCCAGAGCAACAGAGAGGCAATCAAATAACATGGAGTTCGGTAATATTTTAAAATAAGCTTTATTTAGATTTTTTTTTTAAATATCTTATTTTTGCATCCATGCCTTCGAGAAACCTTTCCCACGGGAAAGGTTATTTTCGTCTAATGTTACCCATAACTCATTCGCTATTTGACGCAGTTCTCTTAAATAAATCATCCTTAGCAACTCTTAGAATTATCTCCTAATTTACAAAAACTGAAATGAAAAGGAGCTACTAAATCATTACCGGGAGTGGTTGCAATCTTATTTTCTCGTAAGGGAAAACAATAAAAATCAATCAACGAAAGAGAGGGAAAAAAGATTCATGGGGGAGAAAGCATTTTCTAAAATCTCTCTCTGCAGAGAAAGACGTGGGCTCTGGTCTCCCCACTGCACGGCTGGGCCACGGGAGGCCACAGGGAGCTTAGCGAGTGCCCGGCCTGCTCCCTCCCTACCCTGCACCGGCCAGAAGGAAAGGGAGGAGCAGACGGGGCGGGGGAGAGAAGGCTTTTCTGTTTGTTTGAGAGACTTTGGACAAAAGGCCCTATCCGTTCGGACAGAGATTCTCCAGCACTGGAGCGGGTTGTCTCTGTAAGAGCAGAAAGTGTTACTGGGAGCAGAAAGCGTTACTGGGAGCAGAAAGCGTTACTGGGAGCAGAAAGCGCAACTACTGTGGCTGAGCGGATGTGCGAGCTGAGCTGTTAGTAGGTGAGGTGGAGCAGTGGGAGGGGACAGGTGGAGCAGTGGGATGGGACGGGGTGGGATTCACAGGCCAAAAGAGGGAAGCTCGTCTCAGGCCTCGGGAGGCCCTGGCTTCCAGCTCACGGGATCTCCATCGCCCCACATGGGATGCAGCTGGTTCTGTGCCAGGGAGCCTCATGGGGGCCAACACAGCTCCCAAACAGGCCCATGTCCCTGCCCGTCCTCTCCGGGGCGAGTGGGCCAGGCTGCCGGGGCGGCTGGAGGAAGGGCCCAGGGATCCTGAGAGGCGCCGCTGAGTGTGGCCGGAGGAGCCAACCAGAACGGGGACGGCAGAGGCCCTGGTGCTGGACACTGTGTCCCCAACAGCCCTCCCTTGAGAGAGAATCCCCACCCCCACCCCACCCACCGAGGACACCTGCCAAGGTGAGAGTAAACCGAGGATGAGACACAGCTGCAGGGAGGACGGATGCTGCAGGGGGGTCCCGGGACTGGTTGCCTCCCCCGGAACCCACCCTCACTCCGAAGACAGACCCGAGAGAGAGAGAGAGAGAGAGAGAGAGAGAGAGAGAGAGAGAGAGAGAGAGAGAGAGAGAGAGAGGAGGTGACCCTTGCAGGATGCGCTCTGCTCACTGAAGTCAGTGCTCTGCAGGGCAGATAAATAAATAGAGAGAGACAGGCCTGGCGAGAGTGGGGAGAGAGGTGGAGCGCACGCCCATGCAGGGGCGGGAGAGCAGGAGAGAGAACGGGGAAAAAAGCGAGCTCAGAGACCCCGGTCCCCGGCCCCCCTCCCCTCTAACCGGACCCCGCTCGGTTCGGCAGCAGCGTGATAAGAGAACAGACAAGTCAACAGAAAACCCAGCCTCCCGCCCGCCCTGTGGAAAAATATACATTACAGCATTTATGTCATCATTTAGATAGAATACGTCTCCTGCACTTTGTGCAAATAAATTAAACGGAACTGTTTTCTGTTTTTTCTGTTTCTGTTTCTTTTTTTTCTTTTTCTTTTTTTTTCTCCATCAAGAAAGAAATGGCAACGCAATTTAAAAACTGGCAGGCCGTGAAAAAGAGCCTGTTGGACCTCAACAAACCCAGCCAAGACAAGGCCCCCCGACTGCCCCCCATCCCGGCCGGGCTCCCAAGGCTGCGGAGAGGGGCCTCACCCAGGCCACAGTGGCGTCTGTGGTTAAAGTGACTTGAGCGCGCCCCGGGCACGGGGTCTGGTCCCGCTGCTCACACGGGGGGCAGGGATGGTGGGGGGCATGGGGGACAGACCACATCCTCGGGGGGAGGGGCTCCGGAAGTAGCCGTTTGGACGAGGGACATGTACAAGCACAGAGTGCACAGTCATTTTTTCTGTTATTTACAAATACACAGCAGTCCTTCAAGTTTTCAAGTTTCATAGAGAGGAGGCGGGGGGGGGGGGGGGGGGAAAGGAGGGGACAACACAACCCAACGAACCGAACAAAAGGGAAACACAAAAAAACAAAAAGGAAACAAAACAAAACAACAAAACAAAAACAGAACGAAACAAACCCAGATTAACAAACATGACCGCATCGCGCCGAGGACGACAGAGAGTTGACAGAGTCACACACGTGTGTAGTATGTACATCGATTACAGAGGTGGCGACGCAGGGGGAAGGGGTCACACGCGTCTGTCCGCGCCCGGCCGCACGCACCCGGCACCCACACGCCCCACGCACACCCACACGCACAGACACCCCGCCGGGCGGCGGGAGGGAGGCGGCATCACCAGTCCGCGTCCTCCTCTATGTAATAATCGGGGGCGGTACCATCAAAGAGGCCGGGGTCGAGGGACTTCCGCTGCTTCCCTCTGGCGAACACGCGGGAGATGGAGCCGAATCCCATCTTCTCTTTCTTCTTTTTCCGTTTTTGGTCTTCAAGATCCTCTAGTGACTGTGCAGAGATGCGGAGGAGAAGAACAGAGCCAACCTGAGCTGGGGGTGGGCAGGAGGGGCAGGCCGGGGTGGGAGGGCACAGAGGGGGTGGGGTCTCCCCTGGCCAGGTCTGCCTGCACTCAGCGGGAAATCTTGGCCAGTTAGGGACCCTCAGAGTCAACAGGAGGAGCCGTCCAAGACTGTCATGAGAATGTCACCAACGTGGACAAAAGTTAAGGTGACCAGATGTCCCGCTTTTGGTGGACAGTCCTGATTTTTAACAATCTTTCCAAAAATTGGGACTTTTTTTTAAAACGCCTCGGGACAAATTGTTAAAAATCGGGACTGTCCCACCAACAGTGGGACATCTGGTCACCTTAACAAAAATGCATAGTAAACATTCCACCACAGTTAGCTGCTGGGGTGTTGGCGCCATCATTTAAATTGTTTGCCCGAGACCTACAGATACCTCCTCCTGAGGGCTGGCTAGGAGTGTGCCCACGCCCTGGGCCATGGCCCGGCCACAGGGGCACTGAGCAACGGCCACACCTTCCCTGTGAAAGAGCCCCCGTGGAAAAGGGGGCCTGGGAGCCTGGAGAGTGAGGACAGAGGAAACCGGAGCTTTCTGTCTGCCAAGGGCGAGGACCTTGAATCTGAAGCCCCCCGGACAAGAAGCAGGACTGGCTGGCCAAGGTCGAGTGGGAGGCGGGGGCTTAGGGTCTAGTTCTGATGATGGGATAACTACGGGGGCTGGAGGCTGGTGTCTCCCGGAGAGCTTTGCACAGCCATGGGGTACTATTCTGTCAAAAAGGCAGGGCTCAGACTAGAGCAGTGGTCGGCAAACTCATCAGTCAACAGAGCCAAATATCAACAGGTCAACGACTGAAATTTCTTTGGAGAGCCGAAAACCGACTTCGGCGCATGGGCCACGAAGTTTCAACCACACTGTACGTGCGCGCCCGCACGTGGTATTTTGTGGAAGAGCCACTCAAGGGGCCAAAGAGCTGCATGTGGCTCCAGAGCCGCAGTTTGCCGACCACTGGTCTAGACCTGTGGTTGGCAAACTGTGGCTCTCGAGCCACATGCAGCTCTTGCACAAAATACCACAGCCTGGGGTGAGTCTATTTTGAAGAAGTGGCATTAGAAGAAGTTTCTAAGTTTAAAAAATGTGGCTCTCAAAAGAAATCTCAGTCGTTGTACTGTTGCTATTTGGCTCTGTTGACTAATGAGTTTGCCGACCACAGGACTAGACTAATGGTTCCTAAAATATGTTCCCTGTATTCTAGGCCCAACCCACAGGTGGTGGATCCAACTCCCCAGGAACCCACATTCGAAACATTTCCCCGGGGACCCCGATGGGACTCGCACAGGCCAGCAGGTGCGAACCCTGGGACTAGAGAACTGATCCTAGTGACCCCTCGGACCCTCACATTCATGCCATTTTCCTCCCTCCTCACCCCAAGGGTAGACTATCGGAATGTTAAAAATGAACAAAAGTTTCCTGCAAGGAGGGGCCCATAAGCTCATGGCTTGGCTCATCAGACTTTGGCTGCCAAGAGAAGACACTTCCAGGGCCACTGGATGGAGAATGTGTGATGCACTTAGTAGGTTTACAGGTCCTGAGAGGGCGCGGAAGGGCAGACCCAGGTGTACGCCTGACTCAGGCCCCAATCCACATGTGACTCCTTGACTGCTCTTGGCGTTGGGTGCCCCGGTATGGGAGGGGGATGCCAGGGGCCCAGGGGAACAAGGGATGAAGGCATGGTCGGGCTGGGGAGAAGGGAGGGACTGGGGCGCCTGGGGGCCTGGGGAAGGCACACCCACCTGTACAATGGGGCTGTGCAGGTTCTTCTGAGCTGGGCCGGGACTGTCGCCCTATAGCCAAAGGAGAAGAGAAAGATGAAACAGCGGAGACACGGGACACAGGAGAGCAGAGGCCCTTAGGGACCACCTTGCCTCTAGGTGGGGAGCCCACCCTCACCCCGGAAGCAGACACTCCTGCAGGGTCAGTGGGGGAGGGCCTGGGGCTCTCTGAGAGGCTGACTGGATCAGGGCGCCTCGCCCGAGGCCCTGGGGTACTCCCCTGCCTGTTCTTGACCCCCAATACCATCTGACCCCTAATACCCTCTGACCAACAAATCAGTTACTCAAAGGCTTCTAAGTTCCTGTCCCGATGGGTCCCTTGTGCTAGAACTGGAGGTTGGCTACACTTGGGTGCTTTTCCTACAGATAGAATTTTATAGGGGAAAAAAAGGACAAAAATAAGGAATTTTGGAACAGGGAGACTCAGAGAACTGTAACCTCTAACTCCTCCACAAACACAATGAATCTCTTATTTTGTGGGAGGGCAGGGCTCATCAGCCTGATTTACAAATTCACAGGCTCCAGACAGTCCAGCAGCACCGAGCTAATGAAAAGCAGAACGGCCATACACATTTAGGACAGTCCGGTTCCTCCTGGGCCAGTTCTCCTTCGGATGGTGCACAAAAGTGGGCGCCCAAAAGCCTTTGCCACATCCCAGCATCAGTCTGTCCTGCCTGGGGGGCAAACGGGTCATTTGGATCATAAAAATCCTTACCAGAGTGTCCCCTGGTGGTTGTTTTAGGAATTGCAGGCAAAGTGCCAATGAAGAAACAAAGTCCGTGTCACCTGTCCATCAACTTGTCCAACCTCCCTGCGCTCAGAGGCCACCTCTGCTCTAAATGAATGGCCAGAGCCCGAGGGGATGTGGGGGGAGGGGGAAACTGGGGTCCTTAGTCCAGGCTGGGCTGTTCTTGCTATTGCCAGGCCGAGTGCCTGAGAACAAAGGGTTCCCTGGAGCTAAGCTCAGGCTCTTCCTGGTTTACCTGTGTGCACATCTGTTGACATGTGGCCTGAAGGTGGTGGAGGGAGGGCGGGCGGGAAGGGACCAAGTGGCAGCTTAGTCTTTAGTCCTATCTCAAAGTGCATGCACGGAACTCACGGCAGGCGCCGGAAACAGGTTTACTGTGGGTGGGGCTGGCCGTCTTTGCCAAACGTATGGGGAAGAGAGTGAGGCCGGTGCCCGCTGAAAGGCCTGAATCCCTGTGGGAGGAGAACTTGGAGCTAAATGTGCCGGGGCCCAGCTGGGCGAAAGGCGAGGCCTGTGCCAATGCAATTCAGGAGGCTTTTAGAGAAGACTTTCTGCAGCCTGGATTTCCCCACAGCATTTTGGCTGCCAGGGCCACTGTAGGCCCATCGAGGGGAGACAAAGAAAAAAAAAAAAAAAAGGCCCTGGGGCTGTGCACAGACACCAGAAGGTTCTGGGTTCGAGTACGTCACGGTGGCCCCTCCGAACCAGGGAACAGCTGCCACAGCCCCTCTACCATTAGCGGCCCACCTTCTCCACCTTGGCTCTGCCAGTCAAGACAGCGTTTGTCAGCAAGGTGCTCTCCTGGGGACAAGAGAGCACACGGCTTCTTTCATAAAACCCCCGAGAAAGGAATCCCGGCCGCTCCTGGGGCCCAGGCCTGCGTTCTCCCCGTGACAATGTGGGCTGAGCAGGGCCCGGGGCCAGCAGTCCTGCTGCCCACGCAGCAACTTGAGTTGAGCCTCAGCTATTTTTATAAGCACTTTTCATTGTTATTGCAGATAGGAGAAAAAAAAAAAAAAGTGTTTCCACTACGATTACTTGAATATAGAGAGGGGACTGATTTTTACAAATTGATTTTCAACCAGCACCGTTATGTACTCGCTTATTATTAACGCTAATGGCTTTTCAAGGTTATTCTCCTGCGTTTCCCGGGTAGGTAATCATATCGCCGGCAAGTGATGGTTCTTTTGTCTTCCTTCCCCGCTGTATTCACCTCATTTCTTTTTTATTGCCTATCTCGCTGGTTCATCAAGCAACACGGGCTGAGGTTTTGAGGAAAGCCTTCCCACGCACGTGAAGCCCCACGCTATTGTGTCTCCGTCTTCCCGACGTGGCAGGGCAGACCCGTCATTGACAACCACATGATGGACCAGGAATGAAGAGGGGCCCTGACCCCCGACCCCTGACCCCAGCGTGTCATGTTGGAGCCTAGACAGGGCGGCGTCCAGTCCTCAGACACCTGACCCGCCTCCCTTTGCCCTTCCATTCCTTGGGAGCCTGACTGTCGCCCTCCTAGTCATCGAGAGGTCGGTGGCTAGGGACATGTGCCTCTTGGTAGCTGGCACCCAGGATGCAATCCAACAGGGTTTCTGATGACATAAGCAGAGCCAACAAGCTTAGAACAAATCCATGACGCCTCCCCAGAGGCAAAAGGCGCCAAGGCCGCTGGCAGTCAAAACACGGGGGCTCATTCCTGGATGAAGACGGAGAGCCGGCCCCGCCGGGACAGGCAGCGCTGGGAAGGCTGAGGTCTGGGCGGAGAGGCCCGAGGTCTCACCCAGCCCTCCAGCGGGGACCGCGGGCTGCACAGACCCCGCGGCCGACCCAGGCCCGCCTTCCTTCCTTCCTCTGGATTTTCCTCGCCCTCCCGGACACAAGGAGCAAATGGGCCTCCTTCCTTTCTCTCCCCACATCCATCTCTTCTCGCAAAAGGAAAGAACAGAACAGGAAGTGCCTCCGAGAGTGCTCCCTGGGTGGACGAGAGGAAAGAGCGAGCACGTGTTCAGCCCTCCGCCCGCCCCAGCGGTTCCCGGGCCCGCGCCCCTGCTGGCCTTACGTTGCAGAGGGAGTGCGTCCGGTGCCGCGGGGAGTTGATGTCGCTGGGCGTGGAGGACCGGTCGCCTTCGGCGGCGGACGCGTCGGAGATGACAGAAGGCTGCCGGGAGTGGCAGGGGCTCACCCTGACCGCTGGAAAGCAGGGACAGCTGATGAGCGAGGGACGGAGAGAGTGGCCTCACCTTGGCTGCCTGGCAGGGGAGGGCATCAGCGCCCCCGCTATACCCAGGAGAACGCTGAGCTGGAGAGAAGACACCTACCCAGCTCCCGCCCTCTATTCCAAGCCCCACAGCTCAGCAGGGAGCTGGTTCCAGGGAGAATCTCCCATCATAGCCTCTGGGTCCAATCAGGCCCTTCTGAACCCGAGTGAGAGAGAGGGAGAGAGAGAGGGAGAGCCGGAGCTCCCAGGGACCTCAGCCATATGAGCCTGGGGCCCCCCACCCTCCTAAGCAGCTACAGAGGGAATGCCTCCCCCCGCCCGGGGTCAGAGGACCTCGGAGAAGTCCCCCGCTGTGGCCGCCCCGCCCCCCCCCCCCCTGGCAGGGCTCACCTTGCCGGTCTGCAGGGTGCGGGGGGTGCGAGTGGTAGAGCGTCTGCTGGCTCTGCCGGATGGCTGCGGTCAGCGGCAGGTCCGCCTGCACCACCCACTCCTGGTTGCCGTTCAGCACCGTCTCGCCCGGCATGGCGAGCGAGTGCCGCTTGGGGACATCCTTGGTCAGCGTGGCCAAGGACTGCTTGGCCTGGAGGGAGGGCCAGGAAACAAAAGAGGACGTGACTGTGTGGCCGGCTGCTTGGCCACGGCCACCGCCACCGTGAGAAACTGTGAACTGGCCTTGGACCCGGCATCTCCGCTGCCTGAGGGCCAGTCCGTAAGCCCGGCCCCGGGAGCAGGCCTCGCCTGGTTACACCTTAGATCCGACACCGGGGGAGACCAGCAATACGGAGAGAGAGAGGGCCACACACAACACACAGAGACACACACACACACACAGACACACACACAGACACACACACACACAGACACACATACACAGACACACACAGACACACGCACAGAGACACAGACACACACACACACACAGACACACACACACAGACACACACACAGACACACACACACAGACACATAAACACACACAGACACACACACAGACACACACACAGAGAGACACACACAGACACAGACACACACACATACACACACAGAGACACACACACAGAGACACACACACAGAGAGACACACAGAGACACACACACACAGAGACACACATAGAGATACACACACACACACAGAGACACACACACACAGAGACAGACTCAGACACAGACACACAGACACACACACACACACACACAGACACAGACACACATACACAGACACACACAGACACACACACAGACACACACACAGACACACGCACAGAGACACAGACACAGACACACACACACACAGACACACACACAGACACATAAACACACACAGACACACACACACAGAGACACACACAGACACAGAGACACACACATAGACATACACACAGAGACACACACACAGAGACAACCACAGAGACACACACACACAGAGACACACAGAGACACACACACACAGAGACACACATAGAGATACACACACACACACACAGAGACACAGACTCAGACACAGACACACAGACACAGACACACACACACACACACACACCACCCGTTCTTTTGGGCTCTCTGAGGACTGGCTGGGATGTGACGGACATGGTAAGGAGATGGTGTTTCCATCACCTTAGCTCCTCCTCAAATCCACCTGTGACCCCTTCACAAGGGCCGCACATGCAGGCGGGCGGCCGCTCCTCCCGGCTCCCAGGGCCCCGGGGTGAGTGCATGGCCTCGGGAAGCCCAGGGACTGAGGGGCCGAGGCAGGGCGGTGGGCAGTGGGACAGCTCGTCCTTTCCTCAGGCGGTGACTGAGGCCTGTCTGCTTTCGGTCACTTCCGTCTAGGACAGTGGTCGGCAAACTGCGGCTCATGAGCCACATGCAGCTCTTTGGCCCCTGGAGTGTGGCTCTTCCACAAAAGACCACAGCCTGGGCGAATCTATTTTGAAGAAGTGGCGTTAGAAGAAGTTTAAGTTTAAAAAATGTGGCTCTCAAAAGAAATCTCAATCGTACTGTTGATATTTGGCTCTGTTGACTAATGAGTTTGCCGACCACTGGCCTAGGATATGTGTTTTTTTTTTTTTAAATAAACGATAGCACATTATTTGGGGGGGGAAAGGGCACATCATGGGCAATTTTTGCTTCCCGGCTGGCTCCCCCGGCTCACAGGGCAGGGGGGCACTCGGAGGGGCCCGCGGGGCCTGCGATGAGCTTGTCCGGGAATTCGATGCCCAGGGAGCCATTACAGAGGGCAGAGCCACCGTGAGTGCCGGCTTCACCCCTACCATGAACACCGATGGCATGGAAGATGTCACCTCCTCTCCCTCTCTCAGAGCGGAGATGCCAGCCCCTTAATGGACCGCCTTTGGCCTAACGCCTGACAGAGCCTCATCGTGCGAACCAGCCGTGCTGCTTTAGATAAGGCACGGCCCTCTCTGAGCCTCAGTTTCCACAGCTGTATAATGGAAAGCCGGGACCACGCGATCTTTAGGCTTCTCTCCAGCTCAGACACCCCGGGAGCCTGTGAAATCACTTCCCTTCCGCCACCAGTCCCGGGGGAATATACACCTACATGGCCGAGGGAGGTCAGGTTGAGGGGGTCAGCCCCACCCCCAGGCCAGGCAATCACCTCCTCCCTCGCTTAGGAACCGTTCCTGGGCTCGGAGTGGATCCCAAGGAGGGCGTGTGCCGTTATCTGTGCTCGACCGAGTAGAAACCAGAGCTCAGAGAGGTGCAGTGACTTCTCTAAGGATGCACAGCAGGCACAGCATCCACGCGGGGCTCCAGGCCTGGGGGTCTGACTGCAAGCCCCTGTGGGCTCCACGGGGCCCACCCTCCTCGGACACGGGAAAACCAGTGCGGGTGACATAGACCTGGATGGGGAGCAATCCCTCTGCCGCAGGAGCGAGCGAGCGAGGCCGGCGTGGCTCAGAGCCGCTGCATGCTGGCAGCAGCCCTGCTTCACGCAGACTCCCGTCTCCGGGGCCCCGCACCGCACTCCGCACCGCACCTGCTTTCCCACCAGGTGCATGTGCGTCCGGATCTGCGTCCTGGCAGCTGCTCCTAGGGGCTGCCTGCTCCCTCCCTCCCTCGCTCCCTCCCGCCCAATCTATCTTGGCTGCCCTGAGGTGGACTCAGGGGGAGCGTGAGCACCCGACGGGGTCTGCCATCTGTGCAATTAATCCTCTGCTCGCCCTCTTGCAGACACACACACACACACACACACACACACACAAAGTGATGGAAGCCCAGCGCTCCTGTCACAAGCTGCTGGTTATAGCAGCACAGAGAGAGGCCCGGGCAAGGAAGGCCTGTCTGTCTGTCCACAGGCCCTGGGCTGACCTGGGAGGACAGGCAGGCAGCAGAGGCACCAGCACCTCGGACCCCAACTCCACCCCAAAGGGACTGACTGACAGCTGCAGCTTCCTCGGGGGCCTGGGCAGTTCCTACCACTAGGGGTCAGCATCGGACAAGGAGACGCAGGAGGGAGGTAGGGGCTGAGCTGGTCCCACGAGGGTCCCATGGATCCTGACCAGGGCGGCCCAGACGGAAGTGACTGTAGAAAAGCTTCATATCATCCATCACCATGTACAGGCGCCGTTACTAAGCACTTCCTGGGCTTAATTTCATTGAAATCCTCCCAGGAGCCCCAGGCAGTTACCCCTATTGAGACTTGATGAAACTGAGGCTCTGAGAGGAGACGGGTCCTGCACAAGGTCACACAGCTAGAGAGTGACTGGGGCTGGATTCGAACCCGGGACTCATGGCTGTAACCACACCATCAGCCGCATCCGTGCTCTGCAGGCTAACATGGAGCCCGGCAGGCCTCCCCACCCCCGGGGCTCCCACCTGGAGGGCAGACAGGGCGGGTTGAAGACCCTCAGCCCCACCCAGTTCCAGGTACGGGGCACAGAAGCCCAGAGAAGTTCAGTGAGCGGCCCAAGGTCACACAGGAACAGGCAGAGCAGAACTCCAGGGCTCTGGGCCGAGAATTCCCGGCCAGACCCGGACACCCTGGCTCTCTGTTCCCACATGCAGGCTGTGGGCACCGCAGAAAACAGCTTTTGGATGTATTTTGAAGGTTTGTTTTGGATTAGAAAAAAGACACACTTTCCCCCTGGATGACCCAAATAAGACATTCTCACTGTAGATGAAAATATCTCTCTCTCACACACACACACACACACACACACACACACACGCTCAGGAAGATAAAACCCACTTGTAATCCTAGTCCCCAGAGGTGGGTACCATTGCTAATTTTTGTGTGTGCATTTCTTCCCAAATGTTTTCCTAAACAAATATATATATTTTTAAATGGGCTTTTCCTTTTACAGTAGCCCTGGGGAGTGTGGAAGAGTGGATGGTCTCCCTGCGCCCCAGGTCCCAGGCCCAGGCCAGTGAGTGAGAGATTCCCCAGGCTCAGGGGTTGAAATGGGAAGAAGATGCCAATCATCACAGACCCCGCCCCCTCCCCGGTCCTGCTCTGCCGCAGGGCAGCGAGGGGAGGGCTCACCATGGCCAGCTCAGCCTCCAGCTCCTTCATCCGGTTGTCCTTGAGGTCCAGCTGGGAGCGCAGTGCCGTGGCGTGGTCCGTGGCCTCCTTGGCTTGGCGCCGGAGCTCCCACTTCTCCCGCTCCAGCAGGTCCTTCTCCTTGGCCAGAGCTTTGACGGCATCCTCGCTCTCCTGCGTGGGGGTTGGGGGGGAGGGCAGACAGGGTGTCACCACGGGGAGCGCAGGGCCTCCTTAAGGCCCAGGCATACCCTGAGGGGCCCTGACTCCCAACCACAGAAGGCTCTGCAGTGGGGAAGCCCTGGGTTCGAATCCCAGCCATGCCACAAACCACAAGGGCACAGACACAATCCCTTGGAAGAGCCTCAGGAAGTATGTTTCAGTGGCTAAGTGAGCAAATGTTTGTCACGGGGCAGTTGTCTGACTCCATCCAGTCTCCGTGTCTCTGTATTTAAAATGGGGCAGCGGGGACCCAGCGGCGTGGCTCAGTGGTTGAGAAACGACCATTCTCTCTCATCACTGATGTGTCTCTCTCTCTCTCTCTCTCCTTCCCCGTTCCTCTCTGGAATCAACGATAAAATATTTTTAAAAGTGGGGGGAAGGAGTCAATACTATTTGTTTCAAAGAATTGTTACACAGATTGAATTCATGTGAGGGAAACATTTAAACAGAGTCTGATAGACCAGTGTTTTTCAACCTTTTTTGGGCAAAGGCACACTTGTTTCATGAAAAAAATCACGAGGCACACCACCATTAGAAAATGTTAAAAAATTTAACTCTGTGCCTATATTGACTATATATAAAGTAATTCTCTTGAATAGGAATCAAATAAACACAAAGAAAGTATTTTATAATTACTTTATTATGAAATATTAAGTAAACAAAATAGTGAAAAATTATAAAATTCTTGTCTTGTCTGCACCTACGGCACACCAGGCAACATGTGCCGCGGAACAGCGGTTGAAAAACGCTGTGATAGACGCTACGGTCCATAGTGGGCCCGAGGTTCTGTTTTGTTGTTGGGTATCATGCATGTGACAGGGAAACAGGACAGAGAAGGCGACACCTGCAGCCCAGTCCCCGTGGCCGCCATGGGCCCTGCCACCACCCCACAGGGTCACAGCCCCGGCGACCCTGGACGCCTAGGCACGGTTCTCGGCAGGTAAGGAACGTGCGGCGAAATCAGGGGCCCGACCTCTGCTGTCAAGAGCCAAGGTTCAGGAGGGCAGTGTCCTTCCCCAGAGGAAGGTCCCCACTGGGGGGCCTTCCCGGGCTCCCGGCCACAGCCTTCCCGTTCTCCACGTCACGAGCTAACCTCCAGGACTCTACGTGGCCCGGGACCACGGAGAGGTGGCTATTTGCCTCATCAACAACCCTGTCGCCTGTAATCGGTGAACCAAGTCCCTCCGGTAGCTGACCACAAACTCCTACTCATCCCCATAGAGCCCAACGCCCAGCCCCTTCCTCTGTGACGCCTCCCAAGACGGTCTCCCTGCCTGCCGAGTCCCCTGCTGTCTCCCTGGTGCTCCCGGCACTCAGTTCACACACTTCCTATGGTGTCACAGGTCAGACGCAGAGCTGACCCTCACTGGGCACTTCCTGTGCCCGGGCGCATGCGGCGTGCTCCACGCTCACCATGGCAGACGGGCCGCACACAGCTCCAGTGTGCACTGCGTTCACTGTCTGGCAGGTGAGGAAACGGAGGCTCAGAAAGGCCGAGATGCCCAAGGACACACACCTGGGGAGCCAGGATCTGAACCGAGGCCAGCCTGTCTCCGGAGCCCCACGGGCACCGCCTCAGCCAGCCGGTCTGTGTTTGTCTGCCCCGACGCCACGGAGCCCTCAGTTGGGGGCTGTGCCTGCTCCAGCTCAGTGCCTGGGCCGGGCTAGCCATGGCGGAAGCCTCCCCAGGGTAAGGTGATTAGATGTCCCGATTTCTAAAAATTTGTCCCCCGTCCCATGGCGTTTTAGAACAGTCCTGATTTTTAGGTGATTAGATGTCCCGATTTCTAACAATTTGTCCCGCGTCCCGAGGCGTTTTAAAACAGTCCTGGTTCCCCCCCCCCCCCCCAAAAAAAAATCGGGACTGTTTTAAAACGCCTCGGGACAAATTGTTAGAAATCGGGACTGTCCCGTCCCTCCCAAGGGGGACCGGAGAGGCCACCCTGTGCCGGGGTGGGAGAGCTGGTGTCCGGGGAGCGGGGGGTGGGGGGTGTAGGGGAGGGAAGGGGCCCTGACCTTGCGGTGCTGCTCGTAGTTCCGGATGAAGTCCCGCAGCTGCTCCTCGCGGCTCTCCAGCGTGGCGTACAGCTGCTGCATCTGGCTCACCAGGTCCGTCTTCTCGCCCTTCAGGCGCTTCCGGTCGGCTTTCATGGCTGGGGGACAGGAGAGCGGGTGAGTCCTGGGATCCTGGTGGTCTGCCAGCCCCAAACGCTGAGAAGGGCCCCTATTTCGACCCCTCCCCGCTTTTAAAAATATATATATTTTTATTGATTTCAGAGTGCAAGGGAGAGGGTAAGTCAGAGGAAGAGGGAGAGGGGGAGGGAGAGAAACATCAATGATGAGAGAGAATCATCCATTGGCTGCCCCCTGCATTCCTTACTGGGGATCAAGCCCGCCTCCTGAGCATGTGACCTTGACCAGAACTGGACCCGGGACCCTTCAGTCCGCAGGCTGAGGCTCTATCCACTGAGCCAAACCGGCTAGGGCATCAATCCTCTTTTTAACTGATGAGGAAACGGTGTCCAGAGACATGAAACTTCTCTCCCAAGCTCCCAGGTCACTCCGTGGCACTCTCAGGATCCGAACCCAGGCCTGCCTGTTGCTTGAGTCCCTACTGTTGCCTCTCAGTTTCATGGATCCAACGAGGGTAAGGTGACCAGACGTCCCACTTCTGGAGGGACAGTCCCACCAAAAGCAGGACATCTGGTCACCTTTAACGAGGGGGTAATGTCTCTGATTACTTGTCTATCCCGCTCTGAGCTGAGTGGTCCCCAACGTGACCTGGGGAGCCTGTGACCGACCGGTGGGCGTGAGAACCAGAGGGAAGCGACAGGGGGTGGCTCTGAGGGAGGCCACTGACCCACGCGAAGGTACCGTGTGGCTTCCCGGGAGCCTCGGGCGGGCTCTCTGCGCCGGTGGAGAGATGCGGCTGCCCAGCAGGTCTCCTGGGCTCCCGTGGGGGTCACCCCTCTGCCCTCTGGTTGGAAATGAACCCCCGGCTCGATGTACCCCCCTCAGACTCATCGGGGTGAGAACCGGACTTGGCTCTCGAGACTGGAACTTCGGAGGGGATCTCCTCACCGCCCCACCGGGCCTTCTCTCCCTTTTGCCCCGTGGCTGTGGAGGGCGTGACACTGTGGCCTCCGTGGACCGCCCACTGTCCCAGCCCCGCTGTCCCGCCACGGAAGAGGGCTGACACGAGCACACGCCTGCACTGGTGGCCTCCTGGGGGGGCGGGGGCTACGATTGGGGGTGCCCCGAGACCAACGGCCAGACTCTGCCTTCAGATCAGTGGCGCCTCCCTCAGACAAGAGCGGGAATTTCCCGTGCTTTTGGTTAAGCACCTCCCCTGTGCCAGGTCCCTGCCTGGAGGGGACAGGGTCCAGCAAGACAGGGCCCCCTCTTTCGGGTGGTGGCAGATCTGATGGAGGAGACAAGCCCTTAGGTGCATGGATGACTGAATCTCCGCCCACCCTCCTTCCCAGAGAACCCCGTGTCTGTGCCCAGTCACAGCTCCTCTCCCCAGCTCCCAGCCGCTGGAGGGCACGGCTGCAGTTCCGGTCACTGAGACGCACACAGACGTCGGCTGGGCGATCCGTTGGGCTCTTTACAGAAAAGGGTCACAGCGAGCCTCCCCCACCACTGCCTTCCTGCTGGGAGCACCAGGATGGAGACACAGGCTGAAACCGGAGGGCAGGCGGGCAGACAGACAGAAGGAGCCTGGGCTGCTGGTGCATCACCCAGCCGGAATCCACGAGAACAGGAGAATCTATGGGATTCCCGTTACTTGCAGCTCAGCGCACTCTCGACACAGGCGGGCGTGGGAAGCCTCCACCCCCACCACAAAGGGCTCCGCTGAGGGTCCTTCCCACACGCTCTCCGCTCTGGGCTCTGCCCACCGCTGGGCTGCAGCTGCCGGGCTGAGGACGGGCAACACGAGTGCTGGGCCTCTGGGCCCGAGCGCCAAGGGAAGACCACCTGCCAATGTGGATAAGGCGCCTCTGGGACCCCGCATGCCTGTCAGAAGCCACGTGTCCACCACCTGGGACATGTCACTGTGGGGTGCTCATGTCTGTGTGCATGTCACTGTGGTGCTCATGCTGTCAGTGTGTGGTGCTCATGCTGTGTGTATGTCACTGTGCTCATAGCTGTGTGCATGTCATGAGCACCACACGGCCGTGTGCAGCACAGAGCGACATGCACACGGCCATGAGCACCACAGCAACATGCACACGGCCATGAGCACCACACAGCGACATGCACACGGCCATGAGCACCACACAGCGACATGCACACGGCCATGAGGACCACAGGAACATGCCTCCTTCCTTCCTTCATCACAGGGATGCTCTTATTTCTCCTCTCAAACAGTTTTTGATGTTCTCCAAACAGCCCTCACACCTGCTGAGGTCTGTGAGCCATGACCGGCCTCTGCTCCCCTTCCCGGCCACCAGCTTCGCCCGGGCGTGTCCCATCCCAGCAGCCAGGCCGGTGGAACCCTGCCATGGTGACAGTGACGTCACACCCGGCGGGCCCTGCAGGGTCCCAGAAGGAGGCTCGCCCAGCTCCAGGGCGTGCAGGGACTCTGAGGTGGAGGGAGGGCGGTGCGGGGGCCTATTTTTCTAACTGGGAGGAGGCGGGATGCTCGCATGAGATGAGGGTGTAACCAGGTCCCAGCTGCAGCCCCACGTCCACGGTGCTTCTTGGGGATGTCACTTTCCTTCGCTTCCGGGGGGGGGGGGTGTCCTGCCGCAGGAGCGTCACCAGATGGGGGCAGCGAGGAGTGGCACCAGCACTTCTGCCAACGCCAAGGCGGGTGGGGACCGGAGAGAGCAGGGAGGTCTCTGCACTGACACCCCCCCCCACCCCCCGCAAGGCCCAGGCAAGGAGGCCACAGCCGATTCACAAGGAGAACAGAACAAGTAAGTTCTGAACTTTGGGGGCCTGCAAAGAGGGGCTTTGCAGGCTGCTTTTAGAGCACGTGGGTTTTCTCCTTCCCAACTGGGCAGTGCCTGCGTGAGAACCTGGCTGGGGAACGGGGACTAGGTCCTCGCCTTCCCCTCTCCCAGCCTCAGTTTCCCCTCAGAGTGAATGTGCTGGACTCTGAGAACCTCCTTTGGCTTCTGAGGCCCTAGGACCTCCACTTCGATGACTACCCTCCCCCCGCCATCGGCCTGGCGTCGGGGTGCTGGGTCTGTCCCGCTCTGAGTCCCTGAGCTGTCACTTACCTCCAGGCCTCAGATTCTAGCCTTTAAGACGATCCCCACGTGCCAGACACTTTTCAAGCCTCGTGTGGGTTTTGGTCGCTGAATTCTCACAGCCGCCTTACTAATGCAGTCCACGGACAGACAAGGAAGTGGCACCCGTGGAGATTAGGGAACCCAGCCAGGTGGTGAGTGGCAGCGCCCACCTGGCCCCAGGACCCACCCAGCCTGCTACCCTGCTGCTCTGCCGCCGCCAACCCCCAACCACCTACCTCCACCCAGCCCGGTTCGCCTCCCCTGCTCCTCGGAGCTGGTGCTGGGGGTGGGGCTGCGCCTGCCTTACGGAGGAGGAAACTGAGGCACAGAGGGCTCCCTTACTCATCGAGACCCACACGGCTCAAGCAGTGGACCTGGACTTGCATCCAGGACTCTGACCTTGAGCCCCTTCGACTCCTCCATCGCCTCCATGAAAGCACACAGCCACGGGCGGCAGAACCTGCATCGGCCCTCACGGCCAGGATGGCCCAGAACTCCCACCGTCACTTCCTCCTGCAGAGGCCACGCCATCCCAGGGGCTTCCCGAGGGTTCCATGAAGGCGGGCTGGCCTTCTCGTGCACACTCTATGGCTGTGTGTGTGTGTGTGTGTGTGTGTGTGTGTGTGAGAGAGAGAGAGAGAGAGAGAGAGAGGGGGAAAGAGAGAGAGAGAGAAGTCACCCCCTCTTGCTTGCAGGATCCTCAGTCAGCCCCGGGCACAGCACACGGTCAGACCTCCCGTTAGTCTGGGCTCAGAAGTCTGCAGGCTGGGCCAGGATGGTCCCAAGCTAAGAGGCCCTGTAACCATTCCCAGCCTGGCGGATCCCAGACAAACCTAGACTCAGAGGTAGGGAGGGGGAGGCCTCAGTCCAAGTGTGACAATCCTAGCATCTGCCAGTAGGGGGCCGCCCTTTCTCTTCCAGTCAACATTTCCGTCCAGTTAAACCAGTGGTCGGCAAACCGTGGCTCCTGAGCCACATGCGGCTCTTTGGCCCCTTGAGTGTGGCTCTTCCACAAAATACCACGGCCTGGGCGAGTCTATTTTGAAGAAGTGGCATTAGAAGAAGTTTAAATTTAAAAAATGTGGCTCTCCAAAGAAATTTCAATCGTTGTCCTGTTGATACTTGGCTCTGTGGACTAATGAGTTTGCCGACCACTGAGTTAAGCCTTCAGCATCTACAGATTCTGGGAAAGGAGGGTGGGAAGGTGGGAGCCAGAAAGGCCTGGCAAACCACTCAGAATAAAAACTCACCAGTATGGTCTTCCAGCTCAATTCTCTTTACAGGTGGGGAAACTGAGGCCAAGAGAGGAAAAGAGACTATCTAGTATCACACCGAGAGTCAGCACAGGTCTCCTGAATCTTAGGCCAACACAGCTGGCATTAAAAGCACTGGCTCTGGAGCCTGCCTATCAGAGCCTCAGTCTCCTCATCTGTAAAATGGGGACAGCACAGTCATTGCTGCTTGGTATGGAACAGACCTGCACATCCCGAGTGAACCAGCAGGTGCAGACCTCGAGCACTTGGGGAGGAGGGAAGTTCAGAGAGACACACCTTCAGGCACAGAGCCCTGGACTCCAGTCCAGCCTCTGCCCACCACCAGCTGGAGGGCCTGAGACACTGCACAGGGCATCTCTTATCAAGTTCACCAGCGGTCAAGGCCCCCTAGACATCACCCAGCACCTCAGTGCAGCAGAGGATCGTTCCCTGTTATCGTTTCTTCCGATCTTCCCCTCCCCAGGCTCCCAGGCCTGACCTCAGACTTGACTGACCTGGCAGGCCGGAATGGGAGGACAGGCCAGGGAGGCACGTTCAACACCCACAGACTTATGGCCCCGGGATGGGCCTGCATCAGTTTGTTGTTGCTTTTCTGTTTGGAAGCTGAGCAAGGTGAGGTAAGAATAGGTTAGAGTTCAA